GACCGCATTTCTTTGAGATTGGTCCCCGAGACACGAGCCGCCGACACCATAACCAAGAAAGCAAACATTGGAAGGTGTTTCCCGCAGAGGAGGGGAGGTCTTGACGCCCGGGAGGCAGAGGGAGGTTTGCTTCTCATTCCGCTCACGTGTCCGACTCTTTCCCCCCCCCCCCCCGCTTCTCCCTCCTCGCAGACACTACATACGCGCACACGCGCGTACACGCACGCCTGCACACATGCACGCACACACACATATACATACATTTCCGCACAAACACACTCACACACGCACGCACCCACCAACCCACATACACACACACACAAATGCACACACACACACACACGCGTATTTGCACGAGCGCACTGTAAAATGGGGTTTTCAGAAAAGTAAGCCTTAGCAAACGTAGGATGAAGATATCGCACAAATACACGATTACAGTGATTTCTTATTTTAAGAAAATCTATATATATATATATATATATATATATATATATATATATATATATATATATATATATATATATATATATATATATATATATATATATATATATATATATGTATATATAATCTTTTACATACAGTAAGGTTTGTCATCTGAATTTTAATTCATGCGGAATATTCCGACAAATGACACGAAAATATAATAAGCGGGGGTTATCAATAACACTCTGATTAATTCTATACAAAAAGTTCTTAGAAATCCAGAGAAGCAAATGAAACTGGTCCACAGTTGAATTGAAGATTAATGAATAAAAATAAAAATAAAAAACAATAAACTATAAAAAAAAAAAAAAACTAAAAACAATAGGGGGCGATATCACGTGCATGAGGGAGAAATGACAATATGAATATAAATAAAAAGTGTAAGAGAGTTTAAAACTGAGACATCATCCAAGAACTCAGATCTGTTCTTGCATGCCGATGAGAAATAAAAGTCAATAATCAAACGGTACAGCAGATGATATAAGAGGAATGTGAACTAGATCCAATCGATAGGTGGAAAAATACCAACAGGCAAAAAAAAAAATGGGTTAAGTATACAATAATAAGTATTGCAACTTTGATTTAATGCATAGATACTGTTAAAGTAAAAAAATAATAATAATAATAAATAAAAAGAAAATAAAAATAAAAACATTCGCCTTATTTCATGACTGATTCACTTCATTTTCAGAAAACAGTTTTTTTTTCTCTCTCGAAAATTCCCAAGCCGGGGTAAAAAAAAATAAAAAAAAATTCTATCGAGGTCTGTGGGACTTCGAACAGAAAAACATAAACCTGAGTGTTAGACTGTGTAGTAGAGCAACGACGCTGTTACCCATTTGAACCAGGCTGTTCATGGAAGCATTGTCACTTGTCGCTATAACAATAATTATTCTATAACGATTATTCTCCTCTCATCATTATTACCATCAATATCATTATGAAATTTATTATCATTTTTATCCTACCTCCTGCTATTACTGTCATTGACACTTTTCTGGTTGTTGTTATCTTTATGACATTATTATCACAATTACAAGTATTATCATCATTTCCTCTATTATTATTATCACAATACTTTTCATATTATTACCACTGTAATCTATTCAATCAAAATAATTTTCATTACCTTCGTTATCATCATTTACCCTTTATCATGACTGTTATCATAGATATTGGTAACATTGCCATAACCATTATCAAAGTTGAATAAATCGCTATTAACATTACTCACAGAAATAATAACATAACAAATTTTGATTACAGATCGAATTTCATTATGAAGTTAATTTTTGATATAAAGGTGTTTGGTATAATTTTTCTGCTATTTTACTTAAGGACCAGAAAATTTTTGCCACTATCTACTAACGTTGCAACCATCATTAACCTTGCTATGTCATTATTACCATCATCATCACCATTCTTCCAATTATTATTACCGTTCTTTTACACCAATTTCTTTATCATTGCCACTATTGCTATCGGTACTATAATTAACATTAATATCCATTCTTTATTATAATTATGAGGATCATTATTATCATCATTATTAGTATCATTATATTCATTATCATTATCATTATTACCATTAATATCATCATTAATAACATCATCGGGATTATTATCAATATCATTATCTTTATTTTCATTATTATCATTGTTATCATTATTATTGTTATAATTAGTAGAAATAGTAGTAGTAACATCATCATCATCGTCTCTATCGTTATCATTACTTTCATTATTATCATTATTATTATTATCATTACCATTTTTATCATTATCATCATTAGCATCATTTATTTATTAGTAGTTAGTAGTAGTCAGTATTATTATTATTATTATTATTATTATTATCATTATTAATTATATTATTATTATTATTATTTATCATTATTATTATTATTTCATTATTTTATTATTGTTATTGTTTATTTTATATTGTCATTATTATTACTATAATTGTTATCAATATTATTATTATCACTTATCATCATTATCATTATTGTTATAA